TTTTAAAATTTGTTTAATCAATAAGAACAATATACACCACATAATATAGAAGTCAGAAGAAGAAAGAAGAAAAAGGCATAAAAGAGAGGACAGAGAACCTGCCTAGCGGGACAAAATGTTCTTGCCTAGCTGAACACAATGTTCTCGGTGAGCACGATGGCCACGTCGGGCACCACATGGACTGTTTAAGTGTGTGTTTTTGACCTCCCACTCAACACGCGAAGATGTATAGTGTATTAGGGGCATAACCATACAGGTGCAAGAGTGAGCTTTGGCCCACTCACACAAAATTAAGGTTACATATATATCTGATATGTAGAATATATATTTCTGTTAAAAAAAAAAGTTATGGTTGTGATATGATAGTATGACCTATCACATTCAAAACTTGAAATGTAGCCTTATATGGATTATACTTCATTTAAATTATTTAAATGATGTAAGACAATACCATTTGCAACTTAAGTAAACAATTTAGTTTAGAATGCATAGTTACATTTTATTATCATTTGAAGAATTTTGTCATTCTTTAATATTTTGTAAATTATTTAACCTATTCCAAAATAAAATCCTAACTACGCTACTGTAATGTATTTTTATATTTGTGTTATAATATTATAGTAGAGACTCATGTATTCATGTATATCAGTATATGTATCATCCTTAGTTTAAGGAAAATAATATAGAATTTACAAATAGTCTATTGGTATTAAAAGTTTAAAACAAAGGTAGGATGTAGAAATAAAGAACAAAATATACAAAAGAAAAGAAATTTGAGAGACGACTTTTACATTGGATTACATTCCGTACTTGAATCACAGCATCCGTTATTCCACCTCACGTTCCCGCGTTTATTTGTACTACATCAAAAATCAAAAACTAGGAAATATATGAAGGGTTCCTTGTAGGATATCAATATTTAATAAAGGCGTTAAAATGTAACTTTCCCTCGATAGTGACATTTTCGTCTTTTCAACACAAATAATTCACAAAGAGAAAAGGGGACACCTTAAAAGTCCTACTTCTTCCGTAAATATCCATCAACGCTTTCTCCTCTCTCTCCTTCAATCGCCATTAAAGAAGAAGAATCTCTCATCTTCTTCCATCTTTTCTTCTCTTTATCCTGTCCGCGTCATCTCCTCTTTAACCTTTCACTCTTGTTGGAACTATCGTTTTTCTTGTGAATCTCGAACTGAATCGTTTGTATTCGAATAATCCATGGCTACTTGATGTGCAATCACTTTGATCCGTTTGATTTCTGGTTCCAATTTTGATTGGAGGCGTTTGGATTTGGAAGTGTAGTGGCTACCTTCGATCGGTGACGGAAGGTTTTTCCTATTCTTTTTTAGTCATACTGTTAAGGTCAGGGCCCTTTTTTGATTATAATCTGATTTTGGTAATTAATTAATGCCGGCTTCTTGATTTTTACATGTATATGTGATGGTGATGGTGATGATGATGATCCCTATTTCAACAGATTTATGCAGATTGCTTGTAAAATAGTTCGAATTCTGTGTTTCATATGATTGCTATTAAGATAAAATGATCTTGTTTGTGGTCGCATTTAAAAAAAAAAAAAAATCAAAGCAAACATGAGCTTTTAGGCGTTTCGTTTGTTCTCCAGAAATTATTTCGTATATTTTGATTTTTTTGGTTTGAGGTTATGCTTGGGAAGTTATGATTCATGGTTTGTGATTGGAATTAAAGTAAAGCCTGCGATTTCATACAAAAACTAGGAAATATATGACGCATTGATTTGTTCTGATAATGAAATTTATCAAGAGCAATTTTGTCATCCATGTGATAATCGAGGAATACCTCAAATATACGTCAACAGTTCTTCCAGAAAAATTAAGAAAAGGAAATCATCATCCCACCTAACATTTCCCAAATCTGTAGCAAATCGATTCTAACAAGTTAAACACGGGGTAGTTGTCAATATCCATAGTGCACTAGATTGTTGTCTGATAGAGAACCATTTACACTATTTAATGCTTATTGATCATTACTTTCCAATAACGTACTATGATAGCATGTGATCAAATAAATATATCCAGAATTCAACATTTGTACCATTTTGTTTCTTGGGTCTGATCAAGAAATGATTTCCTTTTTTCATCAGATTAGTCTATTGAACGATTGTTTATATGTTTGGGTTTTGGTAACAGGCATGATGAGTTCTCTACAAGGTCCAGTTGTTTGCCCTTCTGTTCAAAGGAAGCAAGGAGGGATTCATCCAATTCCTGCCATTAATTCGAGTGTGACAAAGGCTAAAGGTCTTAGAAGTGGGATGTGGGGATTCAGAGGTGTTTACAGTCATCGGATTCATATCCATAATCAATCAAGATCAAAGACCAATTCCATTACATGCACTTTCAGTTCATCCTCAAATGGCAATGGTAGCATGGCAGAGAGTTTCAATGAGAATGACTCTGATTATGTTGATTCCAGTGTAGTTGAAGCTGGTAAGAATAAGATAAACAAAATCTATCATGTTGTTTTAAGTAAGTAATTTGAATTTATTTTCCTTTGGTTTTCTACACAGTTGAGGTGAAAAGTGGGCCAGAGGGGTTTATGATTAAGATGAGGGATGGGAGGCATCTAAGATGTGCTCATAACAATCCTCAAGGTGGCCATGTGCCTGATTATGCTCCACATCCTGCTATTGTATTGAAGATGGAAGATGGAACAGGGATTTTACTTCCAATTATTGTTTGTATGTGGATTCTTTATTCTCAAATGTGTTTGATTTTGTAGTTTTGGAAGATAGTTTTTCCGGATTTTTACATAAAATCGATTTTCATTTTCTTGTAGTGGAGATGCCAAGTGTATTGCTCATGGCTGCAATCCGCAATGAACAAATTGTATGCTGATTTTGACTTTTTTTGTTGACTTTTTTTCATTCATGTGTTTCTCTAGTGATTGAAATTGTTGTGCTTTGTTTTGTTTCAGGCTAGGCCAACTATGTATCAAGTGGTGCAGGAAATGGTTGATAAAATGGGATATAAAGTAATGCCCTGTTTCTTTGTTTTTTTTTTTTTTAATCAAATAAAGTGTTGTCTGAATAAAATATAAAATGATGTTTGATGAAAAATTGTTTTCAGGTGAAGCTTGTTCGAGTAACCAAGAGAATACAAGAGGCGTATTTTGCTCGGTTATATCTCACAAAGGCAAGAAACTTTTCAAATAACTAACAATTTAATTGATTATATAATTATAATCCAATTCTCATGTTTTTTGTAAACAAAATAATATGATTATTTTTATTATTGTTATTTTAGGTGGATGATGAAACAGATTGTCTTAGCTTTGACCTTCGTCCATCAGATGCCATCAATATTGCTGTGAGGTGCAAGGTATCACATCTTAACATTATTTTTTTACCTTTTATTCATCTCTTAAAAAGTAATATATATATATATATATATATATATATATATATATATATATATAATATATATATATATCATTATTGGAAATAAAATATTTATTGTTAATGTTATTATCATTTGTGTGTTCATCAGGTGCCAATTCAGGTGAACAAGTTCTTGGCATATAGTGATGGGATGAAGATTGTTGAATCTGCAAAACCTTCATTTCATGGATCTTCTTCTTCAGATGGCTTGATATTTAAAGAACTCGATAGGTATCTATCAATTATCTCAGGGTTAGGTTTAGTTTATTAATTGATAGATTTCTTTTTTTCTAAAAATAAAAATAAAAATTGTAATGGTTACAGACCAAGTGGTCAGCCTTGCGTGGAAACCAAGGAGTTTAATCTTATTCGGAATATGCTAATTGCTGCGGTTGAGGAACGTTACAGAGATGCTGGTATGTTTTATAAATAATTAATGTATCAAAATATCATTATTATTATTATTAAAATGATAATCTAATCTTATAATCATGGTTGAAGCTCTTATATATTTTTATGGTTTGTTACAGCGCAATGGAGGGATAAGCTCACGAAACTTCGATCCAAGAGGAACTGGGCATAACAGGTAACATGACATAATATTCTTTTTTAAGTTTATTTAAAAAAAAAAAAAAAAAAAAAAAAACAGTAAAATATTGATGTTGAATTTGTTGCAGGAGGATGTGATGTGTGTACATAATTGGTCTGTTGTGTTGGTGTCTCAAGTAATTATGACGGGGGTTTGTTTAGTTGAAAATATGTATGTGTATGAAACATTGTAAATATGTGGTTATGTCGTAGGGGGCTATGCACTTTTATGGACGTTTATGTTTCATGTTTTGTTGATGATGCATATTTGCATGGTTTCGACATATCATTTTAAGAAATGAAATTTACACCAACCAATTTAGTCGGTTAGTTTTTTTTTTTTGGCATTCTCTGAGTTATTTAAGAATAAGCTATTCTGAGGTCTGAATAATTCAGTAAATAAGCTATTCTGGATGAATTTGGTTGTGAATGAAAACATGTTCGCTAAAGCTGTTGAATAGATATCTGTGTTGCGAAAAATACCAACAAACCATTAAAAAAACCGTAACTCCAAAAGTGTTTGGGATTGGTTTCTGAACACTAAAAGTGTTTTAGTGTTTTTAGACGATAGTGTTTATTGATTTTTAATGATTCTAAAATTAGCTTTTTAAAAAAAAACGTTTGAAATAAGCTTTTACGCTTAAAATCTTCTATTTGAAACTATTTTGGTTAAAAATCAAAAGCAATTTCAAAAAGTCGAGTTTAATTTGTTTTTCAAAACAGCTATTTTGAAAAATGCTTTTAAATTTGTTAAATATTTCTTTTTGATTTATTGGTTTTTCAAAAAGCCAATAAACTAATAAGTTGTATTGAAATACAATAACAAACACCTTAAATGAAACCATTAAAATGCTTAAGAGCATATGGTAAAATGCTTAAGAGCACACAATATAGGCAACGAGAAGTGATATTATTGTGGATGTGACTAACAACCCAGTCATACCGAGATGAACACCACCCCGCTTTCTAGTTAAGAGGGTGTTAAAGCACAACTCGTAACGACGACAAGCAAAAACAAGAAATATGATTGGCTTTTGATTTCATCAACCAATCGATTTCTTTCTTTCTTTTTCTCTCTACCTATTAGGCTAGGGGTGTTGCTAATAAGACACCCTTTAGATACCCTATTAACACTTTTATAAAAAAATCAATAAATAATTAACTGTTTATAATCAACTTTTCCGGAAAACAATGCAATTTCAGTCAATAAAAATATTTAAAAAAATTAATTAGGGTGTTCATATTATAATATATGGTGTCTTTTTAATCAACCTCTAGTTTAGGGGGAGTGATAACACTCTTAACACCTTTTCACATCATATTTTTGAATGTCACCTCATTTTTCTCTTTTAGCATCTAATTTTTCGCATTAGAGAGGGAGTCGTAACATTCATAACACTTTATTTTTTTTATTCTCTTTTTCAAATTTAATTAAATTATATATTTTTTAATACACAAACAATAATATTAAATAAATTTTATTTTTTTAAACCACAAGAATAAATTATATTTTTGACAAAAAAGCAATTATCACAAAATAAGATAACAAATCACATACAAAGTTCGTAGAATAATTATTTTGACAAAAAAAGACAGTTAGAATAAAAAAAAGAAAATGGATAGAACAGGTTATCTTTTTGTTTTTCATAAGAATCCTTCCAAGTATCTTATACAAACAGTATCACATCTCGAAAAAGATGAATTAATTTAAAACATATATAATCTCTCTTCTTCTCTATCAGCAGTAAAGCTAAAGCAATAAAACCTCTTTTCTTCTCCATGCTCTCCCGATTTGACAAAACCCATAGTATTTCAATTTGCAAATAATCATCTCTGTTACATATCATCACTTAAAATGTTTTTTTTTTTTTTTCCTAACATACCCATGATCTAAACGTTGAATTGATTATATCAGAAGCAAATCGCCGGCTTCAATAAGGTGAAGTTTTCTTGATGGATTTCTTTGAATTTTCATATATTTTTTTTTCATTATTCGGTAATGGATCCCAGCCAAACAACCTTCCACCAATCAAATTGCACAAACTCTTCTCTCTCATCTCGTCAGATACATAACGAGGGCTTAGTAGCGAGCCCCCTAGCAAGCACTGGGGGGCGGTATTCCAGTGAGATTAGCGACTGTAGCGATCGGGTTTAGCACCCCCAATCCGTTCAGTCTTAACATGTTATAACATATGCATACCAACCCACTTTTAGTTATTATTGTGTTGATATATGACGTGATAATTTTGGATGTTATAACATTGGACTCATACCTAATGCTCTAAAGAAAGACTCCTTTACTTGGTTAGTGGAAATTGTATCATAATTGTATTGTGTTTTCTAAGATATAGAGTACCAAAAAGAAAGGAAAATGTGTACCTTGTTTGAGTCCCTATGTCCAACCACCCGAGTCTCCTACTAGTCATTGTGGTAGATTTATTGGCTTTTCAAAACCAATAAGTTTAAAAGGTGTTTGGAAACATTAATTTTTTAGTGAAAAAAAACGACTTTTTAAAAAACTAAAAGTTCAAAGCTAATAAGATATTTGAGAAACAATCCTAAGCATATGTTTAATACCAATAAAAATATGTGTAATTTTTAATACCAATAAAAATATGTGTACTTTGTATGAGCTTTGATCTTCAACATTGAGTACAAAAATTACTTTTAAACATCATCTTAAGTTGAATATTAGCTTTTTCGACAGTGTGCTCAATTAATAACTCTGATTTTTTTTTTTTCTCTCTTGATTCTTCGTGTATCAACTTTTTCCTTCTCTACTTCATGAGTTTTAAAATTGAATTATTTTATTTTTTCTCTATCTTTAATATGTTTTAAAGGAACTTAGCTAAAGTTCGATTTAAGAGGTCCCTTTACACGGGTCTAAGTTTATATGGTTTGTACCGAACTTTTCAATAATTCATAGTTGTGCACAAAACGAGCCCGTTACACCAACAATATAAAATTGGTTTAGGTTGTGTTTAACGTGCTACAGATAACTGATAAGTTAGTTTATTTTTCGAGTTTTTTTTTTATATTATCGTATTTGGTAAGCCAAAAAGTATCTTATAAGCTAGCTTTTTGAAAAGCTACTTTGACTAGCTTTTTAAGAGGTTTTTTTTTTTTTTTTTTTTTTTTTTTTTTTTTTTTTTTTTTTTTAATTCTCCAAATACACCCTTTAATTACTTATAGAAACACATACTCTTACATGTCATTTTATGTAATTTTATATATTTCAACTAGCTTTTCAGTTAATTTTACCAGACGTTATTTTTTATCAGCTAGCTTTTCAGCCAATACGCCAAACATAACCTTGATGACCTCATAATGTAAATAACTTTGTTTTCTTGTCCATATTTAGATAATCATATTTTTTATATATTCGTTTGACCAATAAGCTTGTTTGATCTGTTCAAAATAAAGTAATATTACTGGTAATTACCGATGATATTACCCTATTATGAACAAGTTAAAAAAGTAAGCACGTGATTACCTAAATATGGAAAAAAGCCAAACTTTATTACCCGTTTTGGTAATATTGGGTTCTTTATACTACGTGCAAGCAGTCATAAGACCTAAAGTTGTGTAGATATTAACTGGTTTAATTTGAACTGATCATTCTGAACTGATTGACTATATTGAATATCTAGTTAGATTGGATCGGTTTTGAAAAATTAAAATCCAATTAAATTGAATTGGTTATTAGATCACTCAAAAAATTCAATGAATAACTAAACCGAACCAATCTAAAGCTCACCCAATTTGATATCCTATTAGCGTCCAATGAATATCTAATAACCATTAAATGTTGTATCACTTTAATATTATCCAATATATATCCAATTACTATCCAGTTGAATTTAAATTTAAAAGTTTTTTTTAGTCGTATTACGGTTGAACTTTGAGATTTGGTCGTTGAAGTTGAAGGGTCATTTGTTAGTCTTATTCAGTGTACTTGTGTGTGGTTTTAGTTCTATTTATCATAATTATATTTGATTATTATTGGATATAAATAGATTAGATCTAATGGATAATGGATAACCAATCAAATATATCTAATGGATAAAACCAATCCAATCAAATATCTAATTGGATCGGTTCGTTGATAACGAATTGAATTGAATCGATTGATAAAATCCAACATCTAATGGATAATTGGATGGTATAGTTCCATCGAAATCTATTGGATTTCAATCGATGAACACTCCTAATAAGACCCATTGATATAAATGAATCGGGTATCGAGTCTTGGCTGTGCTACCAGGCAATACTGTTGAGTGGTGTTGTCATGCAGTGTTGCCACGTCGTGCTGATATGCGGTCAATGTTCTAAATAAGGTAAGTCATGATTTTCGCAGCAATGTTAAGCTTCAAACTTTTACGACTCGTGACGAGCTTTGTTGTTTATAAGACGTAACTTAAGGTGACAATTTTGTATGTATATATATATATATATATATATATATATATATATATATATATATATATATATATATAGAGAGAGAGAGAGAGAGAGAGAGAGTCAAGATCAAATAAGAAGGAAACTTTTGGTAGGAAGGTGAGAAGTTTTTTTCTACATATTTTTTTCACAAACAAACAAAATGAATCATTAGATGATTCATTTATAAAATGATTCACAAGAAAAAATTCTCAAAAAAACATCTCCATGATTTATTTATATAATGATTTTGTTGTTATTCACTAAAATTGTCATAAAAGTGATTTTTTTTCTTAATTTACTTAAAAATGAATCATAAAGATATTTTTTTGAGAATTTTTTCTTGTGAATCATCTTACAAATGAATCATCTAGTGATTCATTTTTTTTGTTCGTAAAAAAAATATATAGAAAAAAAACTTCTTACCTTCTTACAAAAAGAAATTTCTTACCGGATATATATATATATATATATATATATATATATATATATATATATATATATATATATATATTCTACTGTTATTTATTTTTATATAAATATATGACTCAAGGTGACATTTAGTTAAAACGGGGCAACAAGTACAAACGTTTGAGCCATGACGTGGCATGACAGACTTTTTAGAACATTGCATGCTGCGTTGTCAAGCATATAAACATATATGAAGGCGATGGAAATAAAAACCAGAAAGAAAATAGTTCCTTCATCAATGACTCAAGCTTTCTAGCCACTAAGCTATAAAATATAGTTTATATGGTTTAATAATGATACCATTCTAGGTTATAGGGTTTAATAGCGATACCATATTTTTTTTGCAAAAATCGCGACTTTCATTGATGCCGAATACAACATGTGGAAAATGAGAAAACAACTCACAAATTCTATAATAGTGGAAATCTAATCCTATCTAAATATACATGATAAGTATACAATAAATACAATATCTCTAATAACTATCATCTCAAGAGTATTTTAA